TAAGATGCAATCAATAATCCGATACGAACTCGATTACAAATTTTGAAAAATTGAATAATCTCTAGTTTGTTCACCCTTTAAAACATTACAACGTTTTTAGTTAGAAAGTGATTAAAATAGGTAAACTAGAATCATAATCATGCCATCTCTTGATAGAACAAATTATAATTGTTTCTGAAAAACTGCAGTTTATGACTATTAATGAAACAGTGATTAATTTGACAACTACTGTCATGGGTTTCCAAAAATTAAATAGTTAGAAGTGTATTTTTTGTATATTTGGATGCGTACATTAGGCGCAAGCCTCGTAAAGTTGTGTGAAACACCCTGTATGATTTAAAAACAAGCAAAAGTGTCTTAAAAAACTTAATGTTAGTGAAAAGTGGTTCGGGAAACAATACTTCTGTAAAAAAAAAACTACCTATGTTAAAGTTGGATAAACAGTAATAAATTTTATTTTCTTTTAATTTTGTTTTTTTTTTTGTTTTGAAGCAGGTGGACGAGCACAATTTTTGGTTAAACACTTAAATTGTTAGTATTTGAATTTGAATTAGAGAAAAATTGCTGACTTTTGCGGGGTTTGAAGTAGTGACCTTATATCACTACGCCACCACGGTCTCGACATGTAATTCAGATCTAGTCAAATATATGCATACAATTTTTTTTTAATTTACAATTTTTGTGTTTCTACGATGTTTTATGTACCTACTTTTAGACAATTTTGAAGTGCATTTCGATCAGTTGAAGTTATCAATTTTTCCATTTTTGACAAAATTTTGGTAGATTTTTCACAACTTCGGTATTATTAACGCTAGCCCTGTATGTTTAGCACCGTTGAAAAGCACATGTCCTATCATATATAAAAAAAATACTGATAAAGTATAAATATCCAAAATATAAATTCAACCAATATAACTTCTAAACTATTGCGAATTTTGCAGTTTTCTGGACGCTAATCGACTTCCTGGAAAATTTCAGATACGTGCGGATTAAAACATTAATCATTTTGTCGAAAATATGGCGTCGAAGTTTTCTTTCCAGACGTTGTAATTTGAGATTTCGGTAGCTTCGCCTAGTCACAATGGCCAGATGCCATTACTGACCCATCGCCGGGGCAGCTGATTCATGTAAAAAACCATCGATTAATAGTCCTCGGATAATTAGGGTCTGCGGTCCATCAATCATCGGCAAAAAAAATAAACACCAGGTGGCGCTTCTTCAACAATCGGCCTATTGGTACTACAAGTGTCGTTTTACACTCGTGGGAATGCGAATTCTTCGAAGCACCATATGGCCAATACGTCTCTTTGAAGTATTTTTCAATCAATTGCGTAATTGGCCCGCTATTAGCAAAATTATTCACGTCGCATCCTGTCGTTAAAGCAGCGATGACCACTGTGCTAAATTCGGTCGGTCCAAACAAGTATGATATAATCGTTTTTGCCGCCTTGACTTTGGTCATGCTGAATGTCTTTCAGGTAACATCCAGTCGTTGACCCGCGGACTCGTGGCCAAGAATACGTGAGCCAGGTAGGCTTGTTCGGGTCGACGCCATGGCGTGAAGATCACGTGGCACGAAGGAACCAATACGAAGGCGAGGATTTTGAGGAAACGCCCAGATACGCCCACGTGACACATGTCGCGTTGCAACCCGTGATTGGGGCAATGGTGACACCTGTGTTATGAAGCAGTGAAGAGTTTTGAGGGTTGGTTTGGCAATTTTTCCCAAAATTAACATTTCTAAGAGGACTCGATGCGAAACGCGCAATGGACGGTGACGGTGTTTTTACGATTCGAGCGGTTTTATGCTTCATCTAGAATTCAAATTGCTGCAAATAGTAAAATTGAAAAAAATTAATAAATAAAGATTATTTACCTGCATTTTATTCAAATTAACGGTTATGTGGAGACAACTGCCCAACTTAAGCAAAAAATTTATAAAAGTAATACTGACTTTTTTGAAAAAAGCATTAATTCAGCATTTTATCTATATGATATTTCTATTGTGAAACGTTACCAGAGTTTTCAGATTTTTTAACAACGTTGGACAATTTATCATCATCATTATGCATATTTTAAAAGATCAAAAGTTAAATATCGAAGTTGAAAATTTGTCGTGAAAGAAAAAACAAAAATTGGTATGATTTTGTAGACCCTAAAAAAAGGACAAAACCGTTTTGTCTTGGGTCACTCTGAATTTTTCAGTTTTTGTACCGTATTTGAAATTGGGTTTTATTTCAATTTTACCGTCCAAATCTAAGTTAAAAGAATATGAAACAAATTTATTATTGAAATTTTGAAATGAGACTATATAACGTAGAAGAAAAATGTATTAGGTAGACCTTTTTGAATATTTTGATTTAACCAAAATTTCCAAGTATAGGTTTTTATCGATAAGTATCTTTCTGGAATTTGAATACAAAAAATTAACCCAAATTTAAGTATTTAATCATTTCTGTTTTACTATGTCAAAAATGTATTTGCAAATTGGCTAAACCTTCTTTGCCAACCTCAAAATGTAAAAATTTTCAAAACATAGCGCGAACTATCGTTTCGCATTTGTTTTTTGGTTGAACCGGTACCTGGTCATTTAAGGGTCATGGTCCTGTCAGGATCCCGACCTTGACAACGATTTAACTGAAACCGATCTAGTGGTATACGGGAATAACAATCCAGCATCACTTTCCACGGCCCGCTACGCATGAAGATGAATAACGAGACCGAATAGCTGTACTCAGTTACACAAAACGAAACCGAAATTATTTATATGACGACGCCTTTAGCTGCTTGACCCAGGTCAAGTTCTATTAGAATTTTCGGAAATTTGAGGGGCTATCTAAGGGAAAGTTTATTGCGGGTTTTATGGCGGTTATACACTTCCAAGAAGGTTGTGCAATTCGGGGGCGAAATTGAAAGTGAGGGTTGTGTACCTGGAACAGGAAACGCTTTGAATTTTTTTTTCCCATGACAGTGATTGAGGGGGCCGATAGATAATATTTGCTTGAAAAGATGTTTAAAATAGTTAAATATTGGTCTCTTAGGTGTTTTTTAACGACAAATATTGATACAAAAGAGCATCCGTGAAGGGCAGGGGGCACCGGAAACAGGAAACAAGAAAAAATTGGCACAGACATTACCGAAAAGGCGGCCACGAGTGTGTTTCGTGAGGCTAAAATTTGATGACTAAAATGCTTCAAGTCGCAAATCCGTTTCATAAACAATATTTTTATTATTCGAAATTTTTACTATTTCTTTAGGTAAGTAACCGCTATATTATACCTAGTTATTTTTTTTAAACAAATTTACGAGTTTTGAATTATGGAATCATGGAGCATACCGTGAGGTGTTGGTGCAAAATATGAGTTTGATTTTTTTAACGGTTCGCGCGTTGTTAAATGTAGGGGAATGTGGGGAGAGAGGTGTTTTGGGATCACGTCGAGCGAGTTTTACGGCTTTGGATCATAATAATAGACAAGTTGTTTGTCCACGGTTGGCGAACTGGCCATGGCGTAGCAAATGACTCAAAAGAGACTCGAGCAAAACCGGGAAGTAAACTTGTAAAAGGCCAATAACCCAGCAACTTCGGTCAAGATCATTCCATCTCGCTCCTCTTCGCCCGTTACCCGCTGGCTGTTTACGCTCCTCTTTAGAAGTCTTGGCGAAAAGTGACCCAATTCGCGGTCGCACCCTCGCGTAGGAGGCCCCCTTGCGATCTAACGGTACCGAAAAATGTCACGTCGACGCTGCATTCGACGCATTTTAATTTCCAGCACCTAAGAAAAAAATTGCCAGGCTATTGCAAGTTCAAAAATTTTTTTTGCCTATTGTAGGGTTCCATGCAAATCAGAATGTGTATATTTTCTATATTTATATTTATTCCGTTTCCGTTTTTTCTCACCATTGTTGAAAAGGTCTGTGAATGGTCGAACACAATGCAACGACGAGCGATGAAATCACAGGGAATGATCCGAATTTGTTAACGAGCTGCGTTCATTATTAAGCGGCGTGGAAAAAACATTATGTTATGCCGGAAGTGATGCTATGTGCATTTTTCTGATTAAGCGGGCAGAACGTATACACGCAGAAAATTACATATCAAAAATTGTCTGTAATAGGCAACCAACAATACACATTTAAAAACACCTTTATTTTTTAAGATATTAATTTAGATTTATATAAATTAGTTACCTTTTTATTTTTTAAGTTTGCAAAATGATTTTGTTTGACTCTATTGTGTACAAAAGATAGAAAGATACAAAAGATACAAAATTCATTAAAACGTGCTATAAAAACACGAATACCAAGAAATAAAACCATTTTTCCTACAATAATCAAAAACCAGATAAAATTAAATTAACAAAACTTTTAAAACTACATACTAGGTTTATATAATTCAACAAATAAATGAATTTTTTTTTTTTTTTTTTGATAAGGCAATTTTGGTAATAAATTGTAGCAGTGAAAAGTTAAAAATAAACGCACTGCATGTTAATTTACATTAATTAATTTAGATTTATTGGAAGTTAATTTTTTAGTACTTATTTATGGATTTACGATAACAAAGATTATTTATTGTTTAATTACAAACTATCATCATCTGAATTCTAAATTTATAATTAGAATTTTTTTAAATTATTTTCAGACTTTTATTTTTTAACAAAATGCAGCGTCATGTAGGCAACCGAATATACATTTGTTTTTATATTGCTTAGCCATAGATGTTAAATAAATATTTGGATTTCAACTCGTAACAATAAAGGATTTCAAAAGTATCAAAATTGCAATATTATTTATTGGAATTTTTGTTAACATAAATTTATTCCAGGTAAAGGAAAAAATGCGACAATTAATTGCATTTACTGTTCTTCTTCTTGGATCTTCTTGGTATGGAAACGATGAACAAAAACACGATTAGCCCGTCACACCAAACTTTTATTTTAATAGCACAACGCGTTTCAACCACAAAGTGGTCATCCTCAGGTGAGAATAAAAGTTTTAAAGTTTGGTGTGACGGGCTAATCGTGTTTTTGTGCATTTACTGTTGTTAAAAAGATGGTATTAATAAATGTTTATTAATTTTCTAATTAATTTTTGACCATAAGTTTGTTTTATAAACATTTATAATTATTTCACCAACAACCAAAAGTGTACCTAACAAATTTGTGTAAAATCAAAATTTTCTTGATAAGAAGAATTTAAACATTGCCTGTGATACTTTTATTCACAACCAACACTCACGCCCCCTAGTTGACAACTTTTCAACAAACTCCTGCTTGGCATAAATTTAAAATGACGTCACTTCTCATTCCTGCATAACAATCCTTTCTCCGAAGATATTTTCAGCGAAACTAATTAAATCAAAATTCTCGTTTTTGCGGTATTTCCCATTCTGGAGGAACAACCTTTTATATATTTACAAATACTTTTGCATACAAACAACAAAATCGTTCATAACATCTCTATAACTGTTTGTCACTCTATAAATAATTTTTTCCAAATTGGAAATCACATCATCTTCTATCAGACCCATTTGTTCCTCATGTAATTGTCTTACACTTTCGACCATTTCCGGTAGAGTATACTGCATGACGATAATCCGTGTCAGGGCTTCAATCAAACAATCTTCCGAATCAAACTCCGACATACAGTTTTCAACAGTCAGTTTAATCTCGATTGTTTTATTTTGTACAATTGTCAAAATGTTTTTCGCGTCTGAGACCACACGCCGGCCTGCAAGGAATCCATATAGCAATACTTTTGTCAGTTCTTCGTTACTTGATTTTAAGATTTCTTCGATTTGCTCTTGAATGATCTCTTCACAGGGATCTATATCAATACCAAAGTCAATAAAAATGTTACCAATTGAATCTAAATGACTAGAAATTGATTGAGTATGTGATTCGATCATTTCCGAAGTCTCATATTGATAATTTGTGAAGTTTGAAACGATGATTTCGAATTGCGCGGTTAATTTTTTGAGACAAGTGCTGATAGGCTGCTCGATTTGTTCTTGTAAGGCTTTCAAATGTTCTAAAACTTGAATTTCCACGGAACATATAGGCTGAAAATATTAAAATTAAACACTATTGATTAAAAAAAAAAATAATAAAGTGAAAATCATTAAAGAATATATCTAAACTCTGTTGTTTGCATTTATATTAAGTTAAAAACGTTCCCGATAAAAAAAAATCATACATACCTGATAAAAAATGAACAAAAGGAGCAAAAACTTCAACATCTTAATATTTTTATGCTTACATAGTTATGGATATGTTGTAATTTAGTGTAACAGTAGGAAACGATACATTTTTTATTGATAATGATTCGATTGTAAGATGTCTCAATCTTGGTCTTATCTTATCTAAAAATACGTGGATTTAGATTATCTCTTATCACAGCATTTCTAGTAAACAGCCAATTTTAAACGTCCTTGACAGTCTTAAACGGGAAAAACCAACAATGAATCATATTTAATTATAACAATACGAGGAAGGGTCAAGAAAAGTAAATTTTTTATAGAAATTTATTCCGTTAAACTAGTACATCACTCAGTGACAAATTCTCTTGCAAATTACCTGATAATTTATTTACATCAAACATTTCTAAATCACCGGAACTGATATTAATTGGTTCGAGTTCAATTTGATGACAATCAATATTCAGTAATTTGCTTATACCACTTGCACTTTCAATATTAATGTCACCACTTGAAAAATTTGGTAAGTTTTCAAAAGACATTGCGTGACTTGGGCCAGGATCATCCAATAATTGTGCAAAAAGTGGTAACATGTCCTGGCATTTTTTCCGTTTTTCTTTCAAAAACCCCGGATCTGAAACAGTTTTTTAAACGCTTAAAATTGAGAATATAGTGCTTACCTGCATCTAGAGGCAAGTATTCAAATTGCACTGATTTACTCACGACCCCATCTGAGGGTCTTATTAATTGCATAAAAACAGGGGCGGGATCGACAATATTTAAGTTTTTGTAAGGTGGAGGTTTGAAACAAATAGCTGTGCTGCTGTAAATTTGCATTTGGTCACCAGTTACAAACTCTTGCCATGTCGTTTGACCATTTGTCACTTCATAAATTCGTATCCTGATATCATCTTTATCGACCTGAAATGACAGTCGGGGAATCACGCAAAATTTTAGGAGACGTACCTTTGGACACAAAAGAATAATATCGGTTTTTCCACCATTCACACATGTGTTACAATGGGACAACCGAAAAATATCCGGATCCGGGAAAGTCTTCCGGTTGTAAATCGGATCGCTCACAACCGGAGGACTCACCGGAGTAAACCGCCGATTTTCGTCGATTAGAAACACTTGAAAACATAGTCGGACTACATTCAAATCGATGCAATTTAAATGATCCTTGTGCAAAAATCCAGCTACAAAAAAAAAACATGTATGCAACTCGAAACTTTAGAAGTAATAATTACTTGAAAACGGGTCAATATTGCTTTCTTCTCGCACGCTGAGACTCTCCTTGAGTTCGTTCTTTTTCACACACTGCACTCCTAGTTTTCGGAAGGTGATATCAGGGTTGTTTGGAGTGACTTCCGCCTCAAAGGAGCAAACGCCCCTTTTGCAGTGCTCTCCGACGAGTTTGTGGGGGTGAGGTTTGTACGGCTCCTCTTTTGTCACGCAGGAAACAACCACGGCGATCCGGCCCTGATAACCCACGATTTGAATGGCACATAGGGTTCTGATGGTGGAGGTGCTGGACGCCCCGGGGATGGTCCCGGTGCGCTTCTCGCATTGGTACCGGAAACGGAGCGATTTTTGGGGTTGTTCGATGATTCGAATGTAAGGGCGGTTTAAAAAGTTTGACATTGCTTTAAAAATAATTTAGTAATTATTGATTAAACTTATTTTGTTATTTACCTACGAAGTGTTGAAATGATGAATAAAAAAAACTTCAACGCATTATCTCGGTATGTTTCAAGGTGTGCAAGAGTTGATGCGACTGCGAATCTACGCGACCTTAGTTTATAACAAATGGTTTGTGGTTTCATGAGAATTAATAACCAGTTATTGTTGAATTTTTTATATTTATCAAGAATTGTTAACTAGGCAGTGCGTGATTTTGACTGACAGGAGTGATAATAATGCAATCACAGGATGCACTGTGCGATTATTTCCTGTGTTAAAGTTATTACTGTTATCTGTAAATAAATATAAAAAATTATTTGTGCGTGGGCAACCACCAATTCAGATGTGTTTCCCAAACTGCATGAATAAAATTAAAAATTCTACACATGTATTTTTTCATAACGGATTCGTAACTCATAACTTATAAGTCTAATGGGAGACACTGATGGGTAATAGTAGAATGAATATATTTCGTGTTAAAAACGGAATTGCAAAATTACAGTGAAATAAGTAAAGTATACAGTGTGTCTTCGGATAGGTGAAACGACTTTGTGAGTCTTGTAAAAGATAAAAAAAAAATGATTTAAATTTTCATTTTTTGGGGTTTAGCTCTGCTAAAGATTAATTTCTAACATAATTTTAGTTTTGAAAATTTAAGTATGTCTTGGAAATTTTAACTTTTAGGCCCCTATACTAAATTTCCAAATCATCGGCCAACTAGGTTTTCTTTTTTTTCCCAATGTAATTGCTTTTTATTAACAGAAACATCAAAAATTTATCTAAATCTAGATGTATTTTTTTTTTCCGTTTTTTTTCGACTGTTAAAAATTAAATTCTTTGATTTGTGAATTAATAAACAAAAAATATAAAAAATCAAAGTTGGTCCATGATTTTTTATATTTTGTATACGGGCCTAGATGTTGATTCTAAACAACTTTTCTTAATAACTTTTTGTCGTATTTGCCACAAAAAAGCACTTTATTCTTCAAGAAAGTAGATTTTTTGTAAAATTTCTAAGGCATACTTGATTTTTCAAAACTAAAATTATACTAAAAATATTTTTGCAACCCTTCAAAACAATATTTTAAGGAAAGAGCGTAATTAATAATCAATGTGATTAAAAGAGTGTTATAAAGAATGCACCAGCATATGTGAAAATACATAACACAAACAGCTGGAAAACCAGCTTTTGATAAAACTTCACTCGATCATCTCGAGTCTTGAATATTTTGTCAATTTACTAATTCAAAATTCCAGCAATAGATATTGCTATAGTAATCAGCCAATCTATGGAATCGGTAGTAATCGTTATATTAGTGTAAAAATATTTGAAAACGTCAATCCGTGTAGTTGTTGAAATTGTAGCCCATGTGATTATAAAAGCAAGATAAGTCCATGCCTGATTTTTTTTTTATATTGAGGTGTTCCGAAGTGAAAAATTTTCGAAATTGAAGTACGGCACCAAGGCGAAAAATCGGTGGACTGTGTATACTGAAAACGAAAGTCTCGTTGAGAAAAATATATTTCAAATGATGTAGTTAGTTATTGTATCCGAAATATCAATACCAAATAGTTAAAATGATTTCTAAATTGAGTTTACCAATGAAAATTTGGGAGTACAATGATAAGATAATCATTTTGGTTTATTAACTTTTATTAGAACCGTATAATATATTTTTGTGTTTAGAAATGTGCTTATGTTTTTTAAAAACATACCATTTTATATTACATAAACTAGCGCAAAGTAACTATTTACATATAATACAGGTAAAAAATCACGAAAAAATAACCGTTTATGTAAGCTAATTGATAACAATGATAAACCCAACTAATATAGTTGAGACCTTGCATTCCAAGATGGAGCTCGCCCGCGAAAAAATCATTAATTTCCAACGAACAAGTGTTAATATAAATATTAAAAACTAAGTGAAAAAAGGGATGGTAACAAAGTTAAAAAAGATTGTACTAAAGTAAGATACAGGCATACAAGAAACGCAGTTTAGAACTGCAACGTATAAAGCGAATACATCTGAGTATTAAATTTGATTTGATTTTCAGATCTAAAGGCACAAAATCACATCAGAAAATATATTTCACGTTTTTTCAGACACGCCGTTTTTACACAATGTACAAATATACAATTTCACTAAATAAATAAATCAAACTTCGACGCCCAAGACGCGGTCGACGACGTATTCGTAGCGACCCGACTGTGCACTGTCATTTGGTTCATTGTCTTTCGAATGGCACTCGTCGGGGGGCAAAAAAGGCACATTGCTGTTCACCCGAGTGAAAAACGCCATCTTCTCCCTAACAAAAACACAATAAATATCACGAAACAAAAACTTTCAATAAAACTTACTTGAATGAAATGATGTCCGGTTTTCCATTCCCCGCTTTCGTTTTTCTCAACTTATAAATCTCCTTCGAGACTTTCCTCAACATCTTCTCCGCCTTCTTCTCCTCGGGTGTTTTCGGATTTCGGAAACTCTCCGCATGTGCGATCAAATTCTGGAACCTTTCATCCTCCAATAAATAAGTGGCCAACTCGGAGTCTCCACGTTCTTTCGCTTCTTCCAACTTCGCTTTCAATTCTCTCAATCTATTCAACTCTGAATGTAACATGTCGAGTCGCGTGTGTTGGGCTTGAAGGTCCAATTCCAGATCGAGGGAAGTACGTGCTGTGGTTGGAAGATGGCTCTGTGGTCGTGAGGCTACTGACTGCCTCCTGAACCTCAAAGAACGCCTCTCAACAGCATTACGTTCGAAAGGCTTGCCTCCACGTCGATACAGAGGCATCGCACTATCGCTGTCGCTTCGATTCAACTTGCATATGTATTGGTTTTTGCTCACGTGGGCACTCGGGGTAAAGGTCTGTGACCTTTTGATGACCCCTCGGTCGTCCAGTGAGGCACCAGCGGCGGCCATTTTCATCTGTTTAGCGTGCTCGGGGTAAAAGGCACATTCGGTGTTTGTTTGTTTGTCGGAAAAGGCCTCAAATTCTTCTTCAAGAACCTCAAGAACATCTTCTTCCTCCTCCTCTTCGTCTTCCTCTTCCTCAATTTCTTCCTCGCTTTCGCGGTCTATACAATTGTAAATGTCTTCGAGGGTGAAGTTGACAGTATTAAGAAAATTGAGAGGGTCTTGGTTTCGGGTCAGAGTTGAAGTTTGAGAGGAAATTATCGTGGAATCGTCGGAACTTTCTTCTTTGAGGACCGATGGTTTGGTTGATGGATCAATTGGGTCGGACTCTTGGTGGTTATGAGTTGATTTTGGGTCCTCCCTGGTGTCGATTAGTTGCAAACTAAGAATGTTGTACCACTTTTGAGACACTTGCTGGACGTTGAAATCAGCTAAGCTGACCTGGGCACAACCCTGGAAACAAAAAAAATATTTATTTCTGTTCACGAGCGAATTCTCAAAATGCTCACCACACACTTCTCCTGCTCTTCAGTCTTACTCCAAACATTTAATTGCAGAGTCTTTGTATAAATTTTATTCACAGGTACGCTAATGTTAAAAACATCACCAAAACTAGGCTTCTTCAAGTCCTTCACACATTTGGTGCAATACACAGAGGGCGTGCTTGTTCCTGATGGCAAAAGCGCAATTTTGACAAACCTGCAAACACCAAACTAGCCTCAAATCCTAAAAAGAAACCTCAAAACTTACACTTGGGCATTCTCCGGGATGTACAACGCCCCCAAATTCCTCGCTCTTTCCACCCCCACGTTCAGTAAACTCTCTCCCGAAGCATATCTCAACTTGATTTGGACCTGCGCCGTTTCCACGTCAGGCTCCACCAGTTTTTTCCGATTGGAGGCTTCAAAAACCCCCGAATCACCCGCTACCGACTCGTCACTCACTGCCGCCGAAACCGACCTGGTGTTCGTCCCCGAAGACGATGTCCGTGAAAGCGCCGTTCCGTCATGTTCTAAAATCGGAGGCGGCGTCTCCGAGATGGGGCTCAGCGGGGGGTCGCCTTCATATGAGTACCGACTCAATTTCGGTTGAGTTTGAGGCTGCTCATGTCCCAATTCCTCGATCAGTCTTTGCACTTGACGGTCACGCTCGACTTGCTCGTACGTCGGCGGAGGGACAGCGCATGGGAGGTTTTCGTACATGGGGGATACAGGAGGCGACACTGAGGATAGTGAACTACGGGGGGATAAAGAGGGTTGGGAGCGACAAGGTGAAGGAGTCGAGTATTTCACTTTGAGGACTCTTTCGACTCGTCGGTGGAGATCCATCATGTCGATGGGTTTGTCCAGATTGGAGGAACACTGGGGTCCACCGTAAATATCCGTGAAACTTAAACCCGAACTCAAAGAGCCTTTGCTTGAAGTTGTTGATAACGAACCGAGACTAGAACTAGAACTGACTGATAGCGTACTCGCCGAAAGCGTCTTCAGATGAGACTCCAAATGGGTCATTTGACGTAAAGCGTCTCTTAGTTGTTGGAGTAGTAGTTGTTTTTCTTCGTGGAGTCGTAACCGGTCGGCTATAGCCCGGTTCGACATTTCCAAAGCTTTGTTCAGATCTTGCTCCAATTTCTTACATTTTAACTGAATTCCGCTCATCTCCTCTTTCGAGCGCATTCGAGGAGTGATACTTCTCAATTCCCTCAAAAGTTGTTCTTTTTCTTGGAAAAGAAGCAGTCGGTCTTTGTCCGACTCGACTTGTCCCGGTTGCACCTTCTCTTCCAAGTCGGCGAGTTTCTGTTGAATGTGTTGCACTTGTTTCCTCGCTTCGTCATACTCTAAACGCATTTTGGCCATTTCTGCCAACCTTGTCCCAATCGGTACCAACTCACACGAGAGGTCAGTTTGAGAAGCCGTACTCAACTTCTCTTGAGGAAGACTCAAAGTTGAAATATCGGGGGAATCTTCAGAGAGTTGAAGCCGGGTCAAATCGTCCTTCAATTTCGCCAAAGATTGCATCAATTCAGCTTTTTCTTTCTCGCCACTCGACAGAGATTTCTGAATATTGACTAATTCAGCCATTATTGCTTGGGCTTCGACAATATTGTATCCTTGATGCGAACTCAATTTTTGTTCCACACTATTATTAAAATTATTTTAAAATAAAAATTATTAATTAGGAATGAGACATACTTAGTTAACGTATCGACGCCTTTCTGGGTGTACTTCATCTCATTTCGGATCTGCTCCAACTCGGATTTTAGCCTCGATACCCTGTTTTTGGCCAAAGCGACGTCCGATTTGAGTAAATCGGGGTCATACTTTGTGCTAACTCCGCTCGCAGACGAATAAAGACTTGTTCGAGAAGTGGCCAGATTGGCCAAGGCATTGTTCAAGTGGTTGTACTCGTCTTGGGCCAACATAAGCCGCTGCGATTTGACATGGTAGATGTCTTTCTTGGCCTGAGAACAAAATTTAAATTAGAAATAAAAAATTATGACTGAGAAAAAACAACTACATACTACTTGATACGCCTATTAGATCAAAAATACCACAGCACAAACCTAATACCATATTGCAACTTGTTAGCACTCATCAATCATCTTCTTTTCAATAATTTACCATTATTTTCTAATTACGTTGATCCATAATTGTAACACAGACTAATAAAATAAAGCCCAACTTTTAGTTTTTATTGAATGTTCATGCGCGCGCATAGAAAAGTGTTAAGAACAATTGTAATATCCGTAAAAATAGAAGAAAAAGATTCAATACATTCAAAACAAAAACTATAGCAACTGTAATGTATTAGATAATTATCGTTTAAAAGAAATTACAAGACATTTCATTATAATTCCAAATGATTTTTTGTTTCGGTAACATGGTGGAGAAATTAGTTTCGTATTTTATTTTTTTGGAGAATGTTTAACTAGATCCTATTTCTAATACTACTTAGCATCTTCGGTAATAATTTGGCCATAACAATTTATTTTAAAAAAGTTGGAATAACATATAAATATCTCCGGTTGAAAAACCCAAGAAAGTGGTAAAAATACAATTTTTAAACCGTGGCAACGCTAAATATTTTGGCCGAACCATTCGAAAGTTGGTATTTTTTCGTCCGCCGACCGGTTTGAGGGGTCATAAGAGGCAAGTATTTGATGAATCTGAAGATTAGCAAAGAAAAACCATCGCCACTCGTCCCGAACCGTAAACTCTCTTTTCGTGGAGAAAAACCTATTATCTCACTCACGATTCTGACTCCGTATAGGGGAGCACTTTGGTGGTAGGACGCCGGTAGCGTTCTGAACTGCTGGTGGTGGTGTATGTGGTGTCCGCTGGCAGGCAGCGTGTGCACTT